TCGAGTCAGATTAAACCACCCTTTTTCCCACCAGGGTGATGTGCCACTGACAGGAGTGAGAGGGGGATGATCCTTTACAGAAAGAAGAGGTTGGAGATGTTCTTCAGTTCACTTGATGCCAAGTGAGAGATGAAGTATGTCTCCCGGAGCCAGGCTGGAGGACATGACAGGAGCTTTTATTAACGTCTCCAAACGTTGGAGGGCCGGCAGGAGTTCTCTCTTTGAAGAAGCTCCAGCTTCGGAAAAATGTTAGCTTTCTAGAGAAAACCCCCTGGCCAAGGCCATGTCAGACTAGTAAGTCATGTTGTCTAAAGAGGCCATAACATCAGGCCTTTTGTATAGTTTGTCTATGTGTGTGTGCAAGAGAAAGATGTGTTATTTTGTGGGTGATTATATGAATGCTTGTGTGTGTATGAGTGAAGTGTTTCATAATATCTGTATATTGCACCCAGCTCTGGTGTGGTGGTTCATGGGTCAGTAAGAAGTTTTACTGCCTGCCAAGAGCTTTCCTACATTTTATATAAAAAAGGGTGTCAACCATTGTGTCAAACAGACTTTAAACTACACCCATACTGCTTAGGTGTTATAATTTTGGAAAATATTAATTTAATTTTCTCCATTGTCAAATTGGGTGTTCAAAGTCAGCCTGAACAACTGTTAGGCACATAGAGAATAACTTTGTTCACAAAGTCAAGGCCATTGAATTAAAAAAAATATAATTCACGTCATACAATTGTATAGCCCAAGACAGAGTTGTCTTTGAAAATAGCACACTTGCTTCCGATAAACACATTTGTGGAAAAAAAATAATCATGTCAGTTTGCAGTAGGTAGCATAACCATCAACGTATATATATAGGAGAGAGCCAAGTTCCTCCATACAATGTTTGCAGTTTGAGATGGGACCCACAAGGAAGGTCAATCAACCATCCTTACTGCTTCTTAAAGAGCAATGCCTTGCTCTCCATTTCAAAAGGGTGTCGACGTGGCTGTGCTGTAGGCCCCGTTTAACTCACGACTCTAGATCTGTGAATTTATGGCGTTTTGCCAAAGAACAAGCCATGGTGCCAACAACTTCCCAAACAGCTGAATTTTCTCTTTCTCATGGGACCTTTTGTGGTTCACTTAAGTATTTGGGCTCAAACCAGATGTCCTGATTGTGTATAATATTGGAAGGTGCTGCTAACTACAGTGTGGTGGATGGACCAGTTCAGGAGCTATTGAGAACATCTGCCATGCATTTCTTGTGACATTTGAAATGGGGGCATGTGCTCTTCAGCCATTAGCAGGCTCAGGATTACCTGCACTCAGTATTGTAAATAGCATTAGTAGTATTGGCGAGCTAAAGTCACACGATACATAGCGCCACTATTTTGAAAAGTGAAACTGCACCCTTGGTAGCGTAATAGTTTTTTAGGCCGTGTCTAGAGACTGTTGGAAAGGTCTTTATGGAAGAGGAAGCCCACATAACTTCATCTTCATCATGTCCCATTTCTTCTAAGAACATCTGTCACTGTTGTCTCTTATCAGTGTTTGTTTTCTTAGTAAAAAGTTTGAACTATGAAAATATGGTTTAGATATTAATTATACATAAAGAATCCTTTGAAAGACTTCATGATAATTTATTCTTACACTGTAAAGTTTTGCGAGCCTTACTACTGCTAAGAAAGCTTGTGTTGTTGGTGCAGTTCAAGGCTTTAAAGAGACTTTTGAAAGCATACAAAATGATTGTAATGACTTGTGTTTAAGTGTGCTTGTGTTGTCAGTGCTTTTTGGATTTATATGTGTAATGTGACATGTATATAAGTTTGTGTGATTTAGCAAATAATATTTTGTGCTGAGTTTTTGGTACATCAGAGGGTGTGGTGAAATTTATCTTTAAATGTAAAGGGATATTGTGTACACAAGCACCACAAAAAAATAAGATAAGGGACTTACAATCTCATTTGGAACAAGAGTAAAAAAAGAGACATCATGTCCTTTAACTAAATAGTAAGTAGGAAACGTGTCACTTGCGGTGTTCATGTGTTGTTTATTACAAAAGCACTTTATGTTTTTATTCTCTTTAACCTAGCTCTTACTTGGTTTTAACTTGATGGTGAAAGAGGTTATGCTAAAAAAATTAAAGTGAATGATAACATCTTCAAATGTATTAACATTGAATGGGAGATACCAGACAGCTTAGTCTGTTTTTGTATGTAGGACTAAAGCGGTGCCACACACCACCTGTAAATACTGTAAATTATTTATTGAAGAAAAATAAAGTGTCATGTTGATATATTTTTGATGTTTGGGTTTTTGTATCCAGCTGTGTTCCTTTTTGTTTGAATTCATGTTTGACAATGGAAGTGACTTCACCACAGCATTAGACTTAGTGTAAGTACGTTGAGCTAAGACTGCCACCTAATGGTACAATAAGTAAACTCAATTTGCTGAATCATTTTAGACTACAGCCGTGATCCTATCTAAAGAGAACAATGTTCATTACCGTGTTTGAGCCCTATTGTAACTTTTGCTCTATAAACCTCAGATATTATTTCTAGTCAAAGGTGCTTTCCCCACTTATAAAGAATCAACAATTATAAGCGAAAAGACTGAGCAGAAAGATTTAAAAGGTTTTTATGACGTTTCTAATCCAATTCGTCATTATGATTCAAAACAGGCTAGGCCTATATCATATCTGAAGGACGTTACCAGCGCAATAACTATATATTAATTCCCTTATTCTCTTTAATAACTTAAATATGTTATTAATGTTAAAGCGTGCTGAAAAACAACAAAATATACAATATGGACTGAAGAATGTCTCACTTTAGCAATGGACTACTTGCACGAGCCTCGTGACGTACTTCCGTTTTGAAATAATACAGCTGTTATTTCCGGTTATATATATTTTCGATGTGCCATAATCATCTAGTTGATTTAAATGCCTATTAAAATGAGAGCCCGTGGGATGATTTCAAAATCCGGACATTTTCAGAGACAGGCGAAGAGATATTCTGATGATTACTGTGTGCAGAATTTTCCAAACTCAATGGAACGTGAAGTTTTAATCCAGCATAAAGCGATGTGAGAAAACTGGCTGGTAAACGTGATTGTTTCACCACAGTGTCAGTGCTCTAAACTAATCGCGAAGCTGCAGTGTACGTGAGATCTGATGAATATCAGAATGAACCTTTTCTTTATCTGGGTTATGTTTATGTTTAAAAATATGTATGTAAATATGTCACTATTCTGTCATTTTTCATTCACAATCATCTCACTGTATGCAATACCAAAATATGAATATTCAAAGTAGTCGCACTGTCAACGCGTTACTGTTAAAATTAATTAAATGTTTAACGTAATTAAAATTTCTTTAAAGGCAGTTACCGCACATTCATTCAGCCATTTAAAAAATATGAATAGGAGCACCAACACGCACAAGCAATAATGCTCTTACAAAAATTAACCATGGTTTTACCATAGAGTAAACAGAGGTCCCCAACCACCGGGTCGCGACCACTGATCTAAATACAGGTGCATCTCAATAAATTAGAATGTCGTGGAAAAGTTCATTTATTTCAGTAATTCAACTGAAATTGTGAAACTCGTGTATTAAATAAATTCAGTGCACACAGACTGAAGTAGTTTAAGTCTTTGGTTCTTTTAATTGTGATGATTTTGGCTCACATTTAACAAAAACCCACCAATTCACTATCTCAACAAATTAGAATACTTCATAAGACCAATAAAAAAAACATTTTTAGTGAATTGTTGGCCTTCTGGAAAGTATGTTCATTTACTGTACATGTACTCAATAGTTGGTAGGGGCTCCTTTTGCTTTAATTACTGCCTCAATTCGGCGTGGCATGGAGGTGATCAGTTTGTGGCACTGCTGAGGTGGTATGGAAGCCCAGGCTTCGTTGACAGTGGCCTTCAGCTCATCTGCATTTTTTGGTCTCTTGTTTCTCATTTTCCTCTTGACAATACCCCATAGATTCTCTCAATTCTCTCAATCAACCGAAACTGACATATGGTTTCTAGAGAGCAAAAAGGTTTTGTGAAAAAAGGGAAGACTTTAAAATAAAGTCTGTAAAATAAACTGTTAAAAGGATTTGATGATCACTAGTCTAGTGAATGTAGCCTAAGTTATTGTTGTCATCATTCAGGTTGTATTTCAGCTTTAATGTACGGTTGTTGTTTTTTAACAAAGCAGCTTGATATTTGCCATAGCGACTCTAGTGGACTGCCGAGTCGCTTTCACTCCAGAATGGCGGACGCGGGCTGCTGCTGGGCGCCGCTGTTGCAATGGTACGTTCTTTGGTTTTACTACAAATAAAACCAAAAAAGTGCAATTGTAGTTAAACCATAATAAACCACAAATAAACCCGGGTTTTGCTACACTAACCATAGTTTAACCATGGTGTTTGAATTAGGTTATACAAATGGTAAACCGCAAAACAAATCAATAAAAATAAAACAACATGGTTACTACACTTTTACTATAGTAAAACCATGGTTATTTTTCGTAAGGGTGTTTATCAGTCAAATTCATTTAAAACTGTAAATTCAACAGGTATGAAATATGATCAGTATATATTTATTATTCAGAATGCATATTTGGAAGAGAATATATTCAGATATAGAGATATTCATAGGAACATTTCAGCAGGTTGAAGATAATTCATGTTAACGCAGAGAATTTTACTAATTTTTTAAATGTATTATTCCAGCCCTAAAACAGTAATAATCTGCTTTCTGCGCTAAACGCTGACGGGAAACTCCCGAGCTGTATTCAAACGCACGAACGGCCGAGTCAATTAAATTTTTTTTATTTTACCATTCAGAGGTTTGTCCTAAATATAACATTAAATAAATGAAAATGAATGAAAAATTAAAGTTGGTTAGCTTGTTGAAACTTAACGAAGACCGCAATTGACATTGTAGTTTTGCATAAAACTAGTTATGAAAACTGCTATTAGTTTTAATTATCAGTGAAGAACAAAAACAGAGATAGTCCATGATGTAGGAAAGTTTAATACATATAGGTCTATAAACATATGTACAGAACAATTAATCTGAACAGTGGCTTTTCACAAATATAAATTACTTTAAATTGGCTTGTTTCAAAGCTTAACATGTCCATGGAGTGAGAGCAGGAGCTTGGGTGGGAAAGTAGTAACACATCTTCAGTATTTCATTGCAGACGTATCCACATTTCACCAGCTCACCTGCTCTCCCAGTCCTGCCACGTTTTGAAAATGAGCACACTACATTGTTCCCCACTCACCAGAGCCGGCTTTACATGCACCTTGTTAAAATTCCATCCTGGCAATTGTTTTGAAATAGTACACTACAGCATAATACTGCATCATTTCCGACTGCTTTACATCCTTGTACCAATCCGGTGTTTGAATCTACACAAGAATAAGGCACAGATGGAAAAACACATCAAACAAACAATCAATGAATGGTATTTACCAGCATGCCAGTCGGTCAATGTTTTGGCACAAAATCTGGTTCACAAAAAATAGATCGAGACACCTGCCCACTCCCTAAACACGCATCTGTCCATTCATATGGTGCTCACATTTCCACTTAAAGGTCAACGGTATCAGCGTTTCAGCACACTCATACTGAGAAAACAACTCAACGAAACATGAAAATCAGATTCGGGTAATGTCTACCATTACTACATACTCAAAATCGAGCAAGTACTGTCCTTTTAGTGCAATAAAAAGATGCAACAGTACAAGCACTGACCATAAAGTGAATTTAAGTGGTGCCAAGTGTTACAGATATAAGAAAATAAAGAGAAAGATAGCTTACGTGCTATGATTATCTAGTGTTCAGACAAGGTCTACATAGACCCTGAATACTGTTTAGCCTTTTTTTTTTCTTCTTTCTTTTTTAAATAAGGCTACTGTCCTCAAACAGGGCGTCTGAGCATTACAATATTAACAAGTGGTGGGTCTGCAATAGCGAAGACACATTAGCTGATTTGATAAATCGAGAAAAACAATTCCAGTAATTGTTGCGGTTGTTGCTCGTCACATATTTGTGACTCCTACATGATAACAATATCAAAAGACAAAAATGTACATGTAATCACTTGATTTTTTTTCCTCAAAATGACATACGATCACAGGGGTCTGGGTATTTCAGAAAGCAAAACCAATTGTTTCAAATAGCTCAACAGAACAATGAATCAACATCTGAAGGTGCAATTAGAACAATTCCTTTTTTCTCCTCCCACAAAGGCTACTTTCATGAAAAAAAAAAATCCTTTTTTGCACAAACCAAAACAACACAAAACAAAAAGACATGAACATCAAAGAAAAGTTTGCTTTGGGGATAGTCCCTTTCTGCTAATGACTCTCAACAAAGACCAAATACATGAGGCACTTTCTAACTTAGGCAAACTTCAACACTTCATCAAGTTCAATCATAGTCCATAGGACTAACCATGCTTTGTTCTGTCTCCTCAGTCCAAAATGGCAGACTTAACCTGGTTGTGAAACCTAGAAGAGAGTGGAGGACACAGTGGCGATAAAGAGGAGTTTGGTGGTGGCTCCATTTATTGCCTGAGGTGGCCTTTCTGCCATGACCTTTGGCAGTACAGACCGTCTCTGCACTAACCAAGTATTCACCTCACGTCTTCCTGTTGTTCCAATTAAAGTCCGTCACAGGTTTCTGCTCTGCAGTTCTTTCCAAAGCAGGTGAGATAGGCTCAAGAGGGGATTTCTGAGACTGAGGGGAGCGGGGGTCAATCAGGGGCGGGGGTTTGTCGGGGTAGAAGGGGCGGTAGTGATCGGGCCCCATTGGGCCATGGTTTCCAGGGGGTCCCCTGTGGTCTGGCATCCTTCGGAAGTCCTGTGGATGCCCTCCTCCACCTGGGTAATAGTTCGGAGAGCGGTATTCATCCGAACGCCTTCTCTTAGGGTCTGGATGTCTGAAAACATAAAGCTAAATTTTAGTTCTACAGCTCTACACACAACAACACAGTTTTGGGCACGAGGACGGGCATTTTTCATGTTGTCCACATTAACAAATTTAAATGGGTTATATGATGCGATTTCCAATTTTTCTCTTTGGAGTGTTACAAGCTGCTCGTGAATAGATAAGATCCCTAAAGTTGCAAAGACTAAAGTCTCAAACCCAAAGAGATATTCTTTATAAAAGTTAAGACTCGTCCACGCCCTCCTAAAACGCCTCGTTTAAACACGCCCCCACGTCTACGTCACTGTGTGGGAAGATTTGCATAATGCCGCCCAAATGTTCATGCAAAGAAAGAAGGCGT